TTTCTCTCTCTTTCTTTTGCTCGCTAGCTCGCTCTGTGAAAAACTTTATATTTTGCATATAGATATAATAATGATTATAGATATATTAACAATTGTAAATTTTACGCATGATTGGTTTCAGTAATTTCAAAAATATTAAAATATTATATAGTTTTAGAATTTTGTATAAGTTTTACAAATTAATTTTATATAATTCATTTAACTGTTTTACGTTATAACTTATATATTTAACAATAACATTTCAATTGCTTACTATATAAATGAATATACAATTATATTTTAGTATTTCATTTTAGAAATTCAAAACTAGTCAGATTATTTGATTATGTGAAAATTTTATATAAACAATCAAATAATAGAAACACAAAGAAATATTTTTTTGTATTCAAGAAACTATAGAATTATATGAAAATTTAATTAACTATAATAAAACAAACTATATCATATTATCATGTGAAAAAAATATTAAAAAATAAAATTTAATATATATGTAATTTTCATGAAATACCCTTTCGTTTCGAAAATGTATGACATGGTATGATAGAAAAGATTTTTTTAAAACTGACAGAAAATGATTGTAAAAAAAATATTCATGTTGGTAAGAATGGAATATCAGAATTTTATTAAACTGCTAAATATTATTAAAAAAACAAAATATTTCTACATTAGTACAGAATAACATTATGCTAAAAAGATTCATAATTTAAAATTTCCTGTAGCATTCATAAAATTGAAGTTAGTGATAGCAAACATAATTACCAAGTATCAGAATTGTGTCAAATTATGATAGTGCAATAAATTATAGAAAAATTATTTTTTAAAATTATTACGAAATTCTTTAAAAAAATTTTTATCTTATTTTACGTTATTTCGTAACATAAAAAAGTTAATGAAAAGTTAAAAATGTTTTACAGATATATGTCTTACCTCCATCTTTATATATTCATTTCGATAATTTTTTATAAAACACATTAATTTATAATTTGAGCTTTCTCAAATATTTTCACAATATTTATTCATATTTATTAGCTTTAACTATTATATATTCTAAATTAATGTATTATTTTTCAAGTGTGAGAGTTTTTGCCGACAGACGATACATATTGCTAATATTCATGATTTAAAGCAAACATTTGCGCATTTTTGTTTAAGATTTTTATTCATTAAAAAATATTTATAGAATATATTATAGATATAAAATTTACAATATATTAAAATAGATTCCTCCAAATTTAAGAAACCTATTTGAAAGATCCTATTTCACTGAATACATAAACTATTCCCTCTATTTATAACATACCTATATGTATATATATTATATATGTAATGTGCAATAATAATATTACAAATGTATAATGCACATTATATATTTGTATTTCTTCAATATATATTTATTTCCTCAAAATATGACTATCATACAATTATAAGTAAAATATGATTTTTTTTCTTAATTTTATCAGTCTAAATTATACAGTAAATCAAATTCACGGATATTATCATTTAATTTAATTAATTAAATATTACTTAATATATTATTTAATTAATTTAATTTAATTTTAATAAACTACAATAGAATTAAAAATTTTAGATAGTGCATTAAAATTGAAAGAAACTGAATCAATTAATCAAGCACTTGAAAACAAATGAGAGGAAATATGTAATAAGCAAATAGAAATAATCTAATTGGAAATATGTAGCAGTAAAAAATTAAGAATAGAAATTTATTGAATACTATACTACCTTAAGCATGAAAATCTAATTTCCAAAGTGTATGTTACAATATGTTAACTATTTACAAAATTATAATAGTTGTAGAAAAGTTACAGTTAGACAAAACACCATCACTTTTTCTAACAATATGTATAAAGAAATTAAATAAAACACTTTCATTAATACCAATAAAAAAATTGATAAAAGAAAGGGCAATTAAAAGACAACACTAACAAGAAAAGAAGTAAATATTGTACTCACTTTAAAAAATTGTCATTTTCTTCATTCACTTTTTCTGCATCTCGAGTTTTGTACTTAATCAAACGTTCTATTAGTTGGCGATTTTCTTCCTATAAATGTTGAAAATACATCAATTCTTATGAATTTAAATATATAATTGATAATATGAATTATAATTGATAATATAACTGACCACTTAAAATATTTTACATTGTATATTATGTTATAAATACCTGTACTTTTCTAAGCTTTTCTTCTAAAGATGCAAAAGCAAGTTGCAAAGCTTGATGTTCATCTTTTAACATTTGATTGACACTTTCTAACTCTCTTTCTCTGCTAAGGCATTTAGATATTTCTAAACGTAAATTGGCATTAAGTTCCACACTTTCTGCCAAACTATATTATAAATATTACGTAATCAATTATTTGAATTTCAAATTAAGAAATTGTTAGTTTTTCAAAAGTAATATATATATATATATACATACCTTGTTTCCTTAGCTTGAAGTTCCTTCATCATTTCTTGTAATTTATTATTAAGATCTACTATTTGCTGTGTATGTTCTCCTTTCCTTCTATGCAATGTTGCTAGTTCTTCTGCTTGCTTTAAAAGACGAGCTTCGAGATCAGCATTTACACTTAAACCAGGAGTTCCACTAGCAGCTTCTCGACGGAGAGTTTCATTTGTTATTGTTAGCTGAATATTTTCTCCACGTAATGTATTTGCATTTTTAAATAATCTATTGTCTATAAAATAAAACATAGGATTAAGTATCTCCTACTTAACCTATCTTCATACAATGATTTTTGTATGCTTTAATGTAAATTGTAAACATAATAGTACAACACGTTAAAATGTAAAAACAACAACAAATTGATAATATATAACTCAAATTAATAGAATGAATTACATTAACAAGTATAATGAAAAAATCTTACGTAAACTAATAAGATCTGCAAAACAATATGTTTGTCTCTTGTTCCTTTCTTGTAACTGCAAGATTAAGTCTTTTCTCCAATTATCTTCCCTAGAAAGTGAGGATACACCTGATTCACTCGCGGCCATGTTTAATGTATGAAAAATCTTTTTAGTATTGTTGTAATATAAATTATTTGTCTTTTCTTATCAAAGTCGTATAAAAATCATTTGACAGAAGAACAGTTGGTAGATATTTTGGCAACCTTTAACATACACTGTTTTATCGCGAAAAATTTATCTTAGGTCAATAATGTTTCATTTGAATATTAATCACTATTAACATCGAAAACCATCGTACTAATCAGATGACATTCATATTTACCACGAATATTTTTAATTATGAAAATAGCTATTCTAACCTAAGTATACCAAACACTACACTGCTACCCTGAAATTGCCGACTATTCGACATATCGATATATTCTGTTTGCGAGATTTCATTATTTGAATTTCAAACACAATTTCACTCAAGTCGATAACAGATCATAAAATGGCAGTCAATTGTGTCATATCTCAATCTGTGATCAACTGTGTGTAAATATTATAGATAAATTTAAAAAAAAAATTTTTTATCCAAAATCAAAATGGAACATATTTAAATATGCAAAAAGTAAACCAGTTTGCGGCGGATGATGAAATAGTTTTCTACATTGAGTTTTATTCAACTTATATCATATCCAATTTATCTAAGTTTGATATGTATGTTTCCTTCGATAACTTTATTTTTCAAAATTATTCGAACGAATGTCATATTAATATCTTGTAATTCTAATAATAATCTTTTAGTAGGTCACAACAATAAAGTGAAATATAAAAGTAAATATTTTTTTGGTTACGTCTTCCTTAGTGGTCAAAATATTGTGTTACCATGAAATACAAAAAAAAGAATAACCAATGTTGTGAAAGAAAATCAAATAAACCCATTAATCCATTAATTAATAGGTATAAATGTTTTTTTCAAATTATATGCAATTTTATATTCATTGAATGTTAAGTACAAAAAATTCTATTTTTTATAATAATTATAAAAATAGTAATTCAATAATAAAAAAAAAGTATTGAATAAGCTATATTAACTATAGACGTCAACCTGATCCATTGCAATATGTATTCTATGCCATACTTAATACTGATTTGCATATGAATCAAGGAATAGCAGCAGCAAACGTAAGTATGATATAAATTTAAATCATTTAATAATTATTTTAAAATAAGTTTAAAAATAATATTCCTTAAATAATACAATTATGGTAATTAATTTTAGATAGCAACTGGTTTAATGTTCCTTTACAATAAATTGGAAACTAACAATGTGAAATGTCAATATATTGATTGTTGGAAAAGAAATGGGTATTATATGCTTATATACCTTTTTTTTTTACATAAAATGGAAAATAAATATGATTGACACATGATTCATTTAATTTATTATGTAAATGCAGACAAAAAATAATAATTCTAAAAGGATATGATCATAAACATTTGAAATACCTTCAAGAAGAAATAAAATTTTTAGCACTTGGAACATATGTGGTCCAACATAAGTGGAGTCGCAACAGTGCAATCAAAGTATTAGCAGTTTTTGGACAAAAGGAACATTTGCAAGAAGTTTTCGAAGGATTAAGTTATTTACAATGATAGAAGTTGAGAAAAGAATAAATCCGTAATTTTGGATATTTATATAATAAAATTTATCTTTTAATATTATATATATATATATATATATATATATATATATATATAT